CAACTCCCCCCTAAGACACCTAAAGATTCTCGTCAGCAGAAAACCGCACCCAGCCTCTTTCACCAGCAAGGCCCTATACCATTGAACCCATGAATCCTAAATCGCCATCCTTGCAGCCCAGGGATGAAGGATTCCGAGATTTGCGGGTTCGTTTCGTGCTGGCTGCATTCCTTTGGGGGTAGCATAGAAGGATCCTACTTGAGAGGCATCCCCAGCTTCACCGATCTCAAGCTGAGGGAAGCACAGGGCTCCGTTCTGGCCCCAGACTTCATCCGTAGCCACTGTCGAATGCCTGAACCTGGCTAGAAGTTCGGACGTTTGAGGTGTTGGGTTTAGGGTTCGGGGGGCAATAACATGCTCCCCCTTGTCCAGTCCATGCAATGAGCTGGAAAACTCGCACACCAGTTGATAGCGGTCCGAAGAGAGCATGCTACCATGAAGATGCTGGATGAGTCGGCCTTGGGCCTTTTTGGCGTCCAGAAAACTGCGCAACTGCGCAAAATTGAAATTCAATTCCAGGGATTACCGGAGGCGAGGACATCTATCGCGAGGTAGATTTGAGCAATCCCTTTCCTTCAGTCTCGACCCCACCCAAGCCCGTGATTGTAAACATTCTCAGGAGTTCGGAACGCTGCCATTATTACGGGGGTGATGGCTTCCGGAGTGCACAATCAAGAAAGATCCATCCATGATCAATTGCAAATAGTTGTGGAAGCCGACCTTTCAGCAAGAAAATACCTAGTACCAGCCACACACTCGTTTTGTGCAAGAAAAACTCGTCTTCGTAGCGATGCCTAAATCGATGAATGACTAGGTCGTCTTGGAATCATGTTCTGTATTGAAGAGGCAGGGATATTGGGTCTGTATTCTGATAGGGCTTTTCCTCGCAGTATGGCTTAGCTGCCCTCGCGTCCCATTCTCAACCACCCTGAATGAACGGAGAACCTTACCAACCCTTATGCCATGACTTGGGCGCACTTCGTGGGATCTCCAAAGAAGTTGGCTCGGAGCCGCTCCAGATCTGCGAATGCGCAAAATGATTCTTTGGACAAGCGTAGGCGCGCAGTCTTGCAATGACAGATGCCACGAGAAGCTATGGCAGGATGACTAGTCTCGCTTAGACAAATGGGAGCTACCAGCAGAGACATCAAACATGCGCAACATCCATTGAAGACGATTGTTGGAACCTAAGATCAAACATCATCAGTGGCAGTCGCGATAGTGATTAGTTTCAGCATGGGTGATGGTGGGATCACTGCTGCGGCGGCTGCTGCTGCTGCTGCAGCTGCTTTTGCTGCTTTGGGGGCTGGGAGGGCGGCAGTGCTGGTGGCGGTGGCAGCGGCTGTGGCAGCAGCCTATAGTATTAGCGTAGAAGGGCACCCTGCGTGCTTCCAAAAAACTGTTTCTTTCAGACTGTCTGCCAGGTCTCGCGACACCACAGTGTGATGTCAGGATATACTTCGAAAGCATTCGCAATCGTTGAAGGCTTTCAGGTTTAGAGCTTAAATTGAACCCTAAACTCTCCTTGAGCATGACACTTCGCGACAAACAAAGGGCCCGACTTGGTAAGTTGTCGTCATCAAAGAGCAGCTCCTTCGTGAAACGGGTCTGTAGCAACGACACATTTCGTGGAACAAAGGTTGCCTTGCTCAATGAAGAACCTGTTACAGGAAGTTGCAGGTGAGTCCTCATTGGAATGAAAACAAGCCAAGGAAAATCTCTGCTGGAGCAGCATACGTAGCTCTGAGAAACCCGCCCATGATCGGTACGTCATGTCTATTGGCTCTACCATATCCTATACAGCTTACGGTAGCTAACAGGGCAACCTTCACACCACTAAATCGCCTGGGTGTCCAGATTGTTGGCCGAGACCTGCACGTCTTGGCAAAGGCTTTATCAAGGGGAATAGTCCAGGCAGGGCAAGTCTTCCCAAAAACTGCAGCGGAATCTTAAGTGGGCAAGTCTTGAATAGGGAAAAGGAAGGAGCTACCTGACTTCTCACGTACAAAATCCCCCGGTCTCCCAGGTTCGGTTTATAGAAAAGCCATTCAGAGGCGAACCAAACTTCCTGATGTTGCGGGTCACGGTAGTGCATTATTGGTTTCTGTACCGATAGGGATTATTCGATTCGTGCGTGCGTGCTGAATTCCTGGTCTGGTCTGCCAGAGGATTTCCGCACAAGGTACTGAAGGAGGACCACATAATTTGAACAGAATTTTGCAGCACCGCAAAGGTGCATGTACCGTAGCTGGTGTAAGAGTCAGACCCAGGAGCCTAGACCCCAATATGGGATTCTTTGGAGCAGCATCCATGTTTCTCGTTCCTGCACTTGCGGCATCTTGAACTACAAAACTACCTCCTCGCATTCCACACCTGCCTCCACGTATCTGCACGGCCGGGCGAGACTTGCTGGAATCTGCACAGGCTGAAGGGCACTTGAAAGTATGTTCAACACGTGGCGCCAGCATCAGGACTGTGTTTTTGCCCGAAAAGCAACCGCCATTAGGAGTGCTGGAGGGTTTCGTGTTCGAACTTCGCTTGAGGGGCTTTAAGCGGGCTGTGCCAACTGCAAGAAAGAGCCGCAAGAATGCTCTCAGCTAGCCAGGGAAGCAAAATACACTGCAGAATCCAGGTGCCCAAAGGAAATCATGTTAACACTCATAATGCCACACTGTGATGACAAAATTATTAGGCTTGTCAGCCTCTGCGCTTCAATCAGCCGGCTACTTTAAGAATACCTAAACAAAGAAAGCTGTTGGTGCGCTCTGCCTGCAGGCCACAGATAGGCATCAGACAGTTCTCGGACACTGTCGGATGCTGCAGAGGACGCAGTACTCCCCGCCCAAGGCTCAAAAATGAGTTTTCCCTGTATGGCACCAGTACCAACACGGAGGAATACTTATCCACGGGGTGGCTCATGTAAGCCTCAGCCTCGACGCCTAGGACCTGCAAGCGAAGTTCCTCTACGACCAGCGCCCAAATACGCAGAACTTATTGTGCTCTCACCGAACTAACATGAAACCCTGAAAGGCTACAACCTTATACGTAGATATCCCCTCACCCCCAGACCGCATTAATCTTGCCACGTGCTCTACTCTCTTACACACACACACACAAACTCTCACACACACCAATCCAACGCGATGTGCATGTACATGGCAATAGTTGATACGGAGGGCATTTGTTGGCACGTATATGGCAGGTGTTTCAAGACTCATGGGGGAATCCTTCTTGGAATCTTGGTTTCCACGTAGTGAAGCTCAATTCTTCTACACATCAACCGTTGAAGTTCGAAAGATGCATGAAATCTCGAGCTTTTTACTTGGGGCTCCAGATTCCGAGATTCTGATGAGCTCTTTCTTGGAATCGTCGATGAACATTTTGTAGTGAAAACGCGCTACGGTATCCACGTTCAATCCGTCAAACCAAAGAAAACAAAGAAAGAACACCAACAATCTTGGAATCTTGAACTACAAGTGTCTGAAGCCCAGTGCTTCAATACCCTTTTCAAGACTTCGAATCCGAGATTCCAAGGTCCCCAGAATCTTAGAACCCTGGATCCTGAGACTCTTCATAATGAAGCTCAGCATATCAGCTAGATTGATTCTGGAGTCCCAATTTTGAAGACTCTGCTTCAGTCTCTTTAAGATTTTCTGGATATCCAAACGATGTGCGTGTAGGTGACATGTCACCTTCACTACATCAACGGTAGGACTTGGACGGGCGCAGCATACAATGTACATATGCAAATATATATGTGTGTACACATGCATAGGTTATATACATGGATACAACTAACGCATAGACAGGCATCCTCTTCGTGTGGTAATGGTAAGCCCTGGATCCCTTCAGCAGCTATGGAGTCCACAGCAAGCAGTTGGAATGTGTGGGCTACAGCAATCACGATGTTTCCACTTTGGAGTCTAGATCCTTGAGGAGGAACAACACTACAACCCCCTCGAGCAACTATCGTTTACATCCGAAATGAAGCTGGGATAGTCTAGTCTACAATAGGCCAGCAACATTATCAAGTCTACAGGTCGAATACTATTTGCAATCTTCATCGACAAGGCTGCGTCTCAGAATGTGGTCTTGTCATATTCCTGCAGACTTTTAAGGATCATTATTAATTCATACGGATTCCCTTCAGTCCCTATGCAACGCATTATACTATTTGCCATGTTCTTTTCTATTCCCAACTTGGTAAGTGAGAGCCCAGATCCCAAGTTGGCCTCGGGCCGCGAACATCCCTTCAAAGCTGCTTTCTGCACGCGAAAGCGCATGTCACCTACCTTGGCTATGTCGTACTACGCACAGTTAATAGATGGATGGCCATAGTTTACATGGGGATGAATGGAAGTGTGTGCGTCGATGGTGGTTGGTTTAGGGTCTATCGGTTTGGAGCTGCGCACTTCAACGCCAACCTTCTAAAACGCCACATGTGCTGCTCGATGTCGCTTGAATGGTGCAGAGGCCGTCCGTCCCAAAAGACATAGAACCCCAGAATGCAGAATCCTTGCATCTCGGCAAATGGCAAGAGGCTGTTGCATCAGGCACACTACCCTACAGAGCCTACTTGCATAAGTGTGCAATCCCTACAGGAGGCCGGGACCGCTTTGGGCCAAATTCTTAAGCCTGTCATTGTCAAGTGTACGGACAACTTGCCACAAACGTCCCGAAGTCAAGAGGCACAGATCTAAACCTGCAGCACTCGTTCCATAATCATGGGTAGGCAAACATTGTCATGTCCACTCAACTGTGGAAAAAAGCGGCTGTCTCCAAATTGAATTACATCATGGCCACGGTCTTCTGATTTGGGGCTATGGGTGACCAAAGAGCCTCAGTCCCTTCTGAAGCTTCAGGGCTTCTCACCTATAGAGATGCATCCCGTGAGCCTTCAATCCTAATTAACACAAAAGGCGCGCTTCCCTTTCAAGTCACGCCCAGACAGCAATCTACCTCGTAGCTTCTCCACCCCCCCGGCACGCTGCCCATCGTGCTTAGTACGCCGCTGGTGTGTAGAACTTTCGCAGCGTGGACTGCGGATTGAACACCTGGTAGTTGAAGCACCTCGAAGCCATCATCAGCAAGGCAGACAAGGCCTCCCTCAATGGATTGAATGCTCAGAAGATCGCCACGCACAACAGCGGAGGAGATTCAAAACTGGCAGGTTGAGCCTCTAGCTCATAGTCTGGGCCCACAGGAAAATTCCAATAGAAAACAGAAGCAAGCGACAGCGGTTGGCCAGCTGGATCCGGCTAGGTGACTGTTCAGCATGTATTCGAGACATGGGAACCGCAGTCCAAGGAGGGAGAGGTCTGCATTTTTCCTTCTCCTAACCACATTTGGGGGATTAGCACATCCCAGCACACACAACCAAGCAATCCAAGCACGTCAAAGGAATGTATTTCTTGGCACTGTTCCAAATTATGTTTTGCTGTTCCTATATTCCTGTCATGGTTCTACCGTGATCTCATCTCTGCGACCTGAAGCTTTGCCACCGGTTGTTTAATTCCTTCCACTTATGCCGGTATGAATATCATGACTTTTGGGACGATCTTGGGGGTAGTTTATGAGGCAGGAACGTCTACTACCGAATCCGCAAGAGAGCCCTTGCATATGCGATATGAGATACAGTTCTGAATATGAGGTATAAAGATAATTAAGAGCATACCAGCTTCCACTTCATTGGAGAATCTAGCTAATCACAACATTCCTCCAGTTTCCTCCTCTTAACCATTGGAACTAAAATACTGGTTTTTGGTGTAGCACAAGCTGTGTACAAAGCTTTATTTTCAGCCTTGAATGGACCGAACAAGGAGGACTGCGGATGTGTCAGGCAAAGCTGTAAGGGAGGATCTAATCTAATCCTTACAGTAACCCGTGAACCGCCAGCCTCAACCCCCAACTCTGAGCCCCGAATAAACTGAAACCCAAACCCTCGACTTGAAACCCAAACTCAACGAAGCCCCACGGCTGAAACCCAAAACCGCCAAATGCAGGGCGCAGCAAACGATTACAATGGGGCTTTGAGGCACATGTGGGCACATTATGTGTGTGCTACAACCGCATGACACTGTTCTTGCATCATGTTGGTAACAATTCAGGCTTCTACATCAAACTGGGCTGCTGTTAAGAAACCAAAAGCAACTTACCCTAATGCGGATATGGAGAAACTGCTACAGCTTCCTTATTCTGGTAACTTGACTCTACTCTCTTTAACAGCAACCCAGTAGATGCAAGGCGCCCCTGGAGGTAGCGCTCCGCCGCAGCTACAGTGGAAATGTCTTGCACCTCCACAAAGACCTCAGAGGAAACATGGATTTTGGTTCCCCCAGTCTCCTACATTAGAAGGAAACAGAAGCGCACATGGAAAATAAAGTGGTAACTGGTCTGCGGGGGTTGTAGGCATTGGGGTTTGGGAAAGCAGGGGATTTGGGTTACCCAACACAAGGAGCCTGTGACGGTCATAGAATCCTTATGTGCGTTACTTGTGGGAGCCTCAGTATCGGGGTGGGGGTCTGCCAATATCCTCTCATTAGGGGTGAGGTGGTTCCCAGACGCACAGGGCTTTCACTCCCCCAAGCAAGCATGAACTCTGAAAGGAACCCATACATGAAGGATCTATGGGGTCCCATGCTATTTTGGGGGAGGGTAGGTTTTCGGGTCTCCCTCTTGAAGCCCCAAATCGCAGTTCCAGCAAAGATGACAACACTGTTCGCTGCTTGCTTGGGCCCACAGTAGCCAGACAGAAACGCCAAGGTCTCCGTTATGCCTCACTTTCCACAACAACATCACGGGCATGTAGACCTCCTACACCCCTATGCGCAGAGGCGTAACAAGGCTGATCTTGGCGATTGCCAATCACGGCGAGAGCGCTTTTGTGGTTCCATCTGCACCTGTGGACAATAGTACCTATGCGCCCTTTACCTTTGGGTTCCCCAACGGTCCAGGATTATCCACTACTCCCGTAAAAGTGCAGGCGTCGGCTTTCCATCGAAGCCGAGTTACTGGATGATGAACCGTGGTACCCGGCAAGGATCATGCTTCGAGCTCTAGATGACTACTCTATGGCTTCGGCATGCTTGGGACCAATCCAACCCTGAAGTAACTAGCCTCCCACAGAAACGGCTCAAAGCAAACCCTCGAACCACTCAGTTCAGTACAGGGCTTAGGTCAATGCCAACAAACAAAAAAGCAGAATCAATTCAGGCAGGACAGGGCCCTGGGTGGCGTACACCTGTCGAAGTCTCGTTCGGGATTCCGATGACCAGAGCGTTCTCCACACCAAACCTGTGCCATCTTCGGCTCTCCAGATTTGGATCATCAACACTGATTGCAGATCATTCGGCTATCCAAAACAGGCTTGCTCTTATTATTGTCCTCAGAACTGGGACCCTCAGATGTAAGCATGCATATATATATATACATAAACACTCACACATCGAACCAGATGTGTACAGGTACAGATAGTGTACAGCCGTGTGCATCTGTTTGTACGGCAGATGCACGTATCTACATTTATGCAATGGTAAGACATGAAGATGCCACATGAACATGAGCTGCAGTCAATATTACCCGTATAACTGACTAATGGACATGGGTTCCTTGTTAGAGAATATACTTCTGATCAAGAACTGTAGTAAACTACTACAATGACCCCATGTCCACGCTTCATGATCCCTTGGTAAGCTTACTACCGACAGGAGCTCACATCTGTTTCGAAGATCCACGCATTTTGTCAAAGCGCGAGGCCTCAGCAGGTAGCTTTCGATCTCGGAGCGCAGGAAGAAGCACCTACAAAGCAGTCAGAAAGGGGTTCAGTGTTTCGGGTGTTAAGGTCCTATAAGTCCTAAGATCAATCACAGGCTTGTGGAGAATAAAACCTCGGTCCCAGGCGACATGCTGAAGATGATGAGGATGCCGAAGATGAGGAAGTCGGCAAGCTGCCAGGTTTGCAGGATACTTCTATTTGAGGACTTGAATCTTCAGGGCTGAGGGTGAAAAAAGCTAAGGGTCAGGGCAGGGTAGTTGGAGCCTACCCTGACGGCCGTTTGATTGACTGGGTGCCCGCACCCTCGTCCTCAGCCACTTCTGCATATCGTGCTTCCTCAGGACGTGTGATCACCACGTTGCGGGGCCCCTATAAATCCCGGGAGATTAGCTGGAACCACGGTGTATCCAATGCTGGACCATGATTTTGTCAGACTCTCAGCCCTTGAATCTCTGCACATGCTTGCGCATCATCAAGTGCCAAGCCTCAGCCCAAACAACTTGGGCGCCTGCCTGTTGCGCTTCTTGAGAAGCTTGTAGACCTGGAAGTCTGGCCCGGGTTGACTTGAGATCTCAATCGGAGCTGAACATGAGTTTGGATACAGCTCAGATAGGTCAGAAGTCACCTATCATTGCCAGGATTTGTCCTGACATGGCAACCCGACATTGACACAAGAGCAAGCAAGGGCAGCACAGCTATTCTTTGAAGTGGGTGGCAGCTGTAGCCTTCTTCGTCATCTGAATAACAGCTTAGACACCGGCGTTCGGGCTCAGAGCTGCTGTTCCAGGATTTAAGTTTAAGGATGGGCTTAGGGATCCGGGTATGGGGTATATGGGTTGAGGTTAAGGGCAATCCAACTGCCCCAACTGAATACACAGCGGTCCGGTAACAACTGTTGAAACCCCTTCATGCCTAACTCTTCTCGAACTTGTAATTGCGTTGCACCTTCTGATTCCTGGCTGATTCCAGCGAGCCCCTCAAAAGCTCTCAAATGTCCCAACAAACGGGAGGTCTTTGTTGGACACCTGCGGTGCATGGCTGGGTCACTGGCGCCAGGCCAGGTTTTGAGTGCTTCGACGAAGGGCTCCGTCACATGCTCAGACTGGGCATTCACACAGATTGGAAGCCTTTTGAAGCTTTACAGGGGTTTTAGGGTTCACGCAGGGCTTGTTGAAAGACAATCTTCTTTTTCCCCTGAGATGCATTTCCCTTATACCAGGAACAACCCTAATTAGATGGACCCACGGTATGATATTGAGAAACTTCGGCGCTAATACTGCCCAGTATCCAGAAAGAAACACCCAAATAGTTAAATATCCGAGCTTCCTAGCCTGGACTCTCTTCAGGGTTTGTTGCTGGAGCGGCGCTGTAGAAGCTTTCTGGGAGGCTTTGCAAGTCAGGGCTGGGGCTACTTGCTTGACCACAGAATCTCCGAAGGCCCCATGCATTGCAGAATTGGGTTCATACACACCCTGAAACAGAAAGACAGGAACATGGACACGCAACGTTGAACAAACATCCATGATGTCATATCTACCAAGGGACGGAGACGTTGCCGAGACCCAACTTCAGCGTCATCAGCTTCTTCCCCTGGCCGTCATCCCTAAGTCGATACAACGCTGGCCTTACAAGGTGGGGCTGTAAGTCTACTAAGTGTGCTGGTGTTGGTTGCTGTTTTCTGACTGTACGAAATAACACTCTGCAGCTTGTGCCATCCTAAGGGCTTCTGGTGATCACCTTGTTGGCTACAACATGGCATCAATGCAGGGACTTCGTTTGAAAGACAGGCGACTAAACCATCCGACAGCCCTCAAAGCCCAACAGTTAACCCCACCCCTAAAAAAGATAAGAATACCATGGGGGCAAATCACAGGCTCACTCTGCTTCCCTGCCCTTCCGTGCCTCTTCTGGCATGTCCTCCTGCACCTGGCTTCTGAGGCCATGAGGATTGAAAACATTTGAGTGTCTGATTTGCTTAGGGAATTCACTTTTAGTGGCTTCCAAATAGACCCGCCTGATCTGGGACCCAAAGCTCTATACCCAGATTCCGCACTAAAAACTATCCACAAAGCTGGGCACTGGTTGTTTGAAGCTGCCATTTGCAGGAACGCGGTCCTGAGAGGTGGCCGAATTGATGTTCTTCGCTCAGGGCTGCCCAAAGACTTCTTTTGGTGAGCTTTAGTCCTCCTACTGGTATGTTACGATCAAGGTACATCTAGTCCGTTGCTTTACTTCTGTGCCTGAGCTATACATGCCTACGCAAGTACAGGCAGGATTTGGCCCCATACACGACCTTGTTCAACATAATCTCATGCAAGCGACTAGCACATAATATGAGAAACCGCTGACAAGCGTGGAAGATGAGTCCCAGCACGTAAGACCTGATAAACTCCAAGCCCTTAACCCTGGAGCAGCCTTAGTCTTGTGGGTCTGCACCATGATGCTGCGCAGTCTGCATTTTTTGCTACAAAGTTGGAAACGCAGTCTGGCCAGGTCAGCCCATCTCAAAAGCCAGCCGTCCTTTTTGGGGCCTCTGCTCACTATGGCGGCTTCTTGACCAATCAGCTGCTGGCTAGAATTGGTCATCAGAATACTCTCCGCAACACCACAGTCTCATCTTTGCAGCCATTCTTGTGTTGCTATCGCTCTACCAACTGCGGCAACTGTGGTGATTGCGGTACCATTTCTGGTACTGCGACATACTTTAAATGCGGCTCCTTGCCTTGCATCGCGGCCTCTGGTTGCATTTCGGATTCGCATGATCGCTTGTCTGTGCAACTTGGAGCGACTTCCCGGACCTCCCATTCTTCGTGAGACGCGCTTTGAAAAGGAAGGCCACTGCAACCGTGGGGGCACGACATCTTCTCATGGCAAAGAAGGCGCGCTTCTTGTGGCTCCGTGCCCGCTGCAAGAACTTCAGATTGTCGTCTGTTTTGGCGAAGGTGACACTCATCCTCAGAGGTCGCCTCACTGCCACGAGAGTCCTGGAGGCCGCAGCTGAGTTCGCTGTCCGATGCTATCACTAGGCAAGGGCACGCTTTCAATTAACGCTGAAGCCCTGCTTGCAAAGCCCTCTCTAAGAACAAGCTAGTGCGGTCACTCATTGATGCATCACTGATACATGACCAACCCAGTTCCTTCAGGCCATGGCATTCTGATCTGTAGTGTAGTCACTCGCGCCTGTCCTTCTGGCTTCCTTCATTGTCTATGCTACTTCTCTTCTTGTCACATGCGCCGTTCCTCTGCATGCTGCCATTAGAATGCACATTCCACCCCAGCACTGCCAAGGTGGCAAATGGTACCCTGTTACTCTGACACTGTAGCGGGTCGTCTCTTCTAAGCATACCTCGATGAGTCCTGCAGACTCTAGTTGTCCACGTCAGAGTCATCTGCATCCAGCGGCCAACGTGGATTGATGTGAAGAGGCCGGACCCCTGAGATCGGCAGGGTGAGGGAGTAGTAGGCTATGCCGCTTAAGAAATTCTGGGCTGTCCTTCGCCGCAGACTTTATTTTGTAGGCTCTGTGAGTCAGGCAGGCCCCTTCCAGGGTTCTGATATGTTGCATTCAACTTCTACCCGGGAAAAACCATGTTTTTTTGGAAATTGGGATGGTAGGCATGAAAACGAAATAGAACATCTGAAAAGAAAAAGTGCAGCCAATGCATTAGCTTGAGGCACTTGTGGTTGGGACTTCTACAAGAAATCGAATACTCCAAAGAAAGGGCACGGCAGTATGCCAAGACTCTCTGCTGGGAGTGCGACAGCTGTGCTTGTTGCTTGGTGGTGAGCAGCTTCCTCCACAAGTGTGGCGTTCACAATGGTCTGGTACATGTCAACAGATTTGACTTCACATTGCTAATAACTTATGGCTTGTGACGGCTGCAAGAATAGCAATAGTGTCCACTGTCCAATGCAATGGCCGCTATAATGGAAGAAAGGTGTCTAACGATCCCTATTGAATCCTGGAACGTCCAACTTAGCACCAGTTGTGCTACGACGTGCTTTTTTGCTCGGGCATGCTGCTGTGCACAATTTCAGGCAGAACTGCGGTGCGATTTTCTCGTTTGCGCCAGGTTGCGCCGATTTTGCGCTCGTGCGCTGCGGCTTTCAGTGACAAGGATTTCGGCAGAAGTACAACGGGAATCGCACGTTTGGCTGAAGACAGGCCGCCACCGTGGATGTAGACAATTTTCTCTCGATTGGACGAAAATATCAAAACCATGGTGGGGCAACAATTTGTGCCGCGTGCCACATGGGAGGTTGCAGGATCCTTGAGAGGACTCCTACAATCCCTTGCAATCGAAAGTAATCTCAAAGATCTCTCGGGGCTTCCCAAGTTCAGAAACTCCCATAACGTCGGCTCCTCTGCAAGTGTGTAGCGAGCTTCACCTGGAATTGCTCAAGACTTCACAAAACATGTAAAGCCCAAAAACGTCCCATAGGCTAGAGAGCGTTAAGGATTCCCAGCAAACGTCAATCCCATGTTTTCAAACTCAGACCTCCGACAGCTGCAGGCCCACCGAGGTCACAGGATGCGGCGGCTCAGAAACAGCAAAGTAGATGCAGCACTTCCTATCAAAGGACGAACACCCATCCATACACCTTATTTAGGGGAGGTTGTTCATGAAGGGGTTCTTCAATGGATGTGTAGAGACCCCTGATCCTCGAGTTGCGACATGGATTCACACTGTCCAGCTCCATGTTGCGGATCTCCAACTTTGCCCCGCGCCCAATCTCAAAGATGGCACGGGGCCCGGCGCAGCTGATGCCATGCACAAACACCCGAAGGCGACGACATTCTCCTAGAAATTTCCCGTCAAGCACAGGAAACAACTTTGAAGTGCTTACATATGGATATGCGCTTGAACTTTTCTTTTAGAAAATATCTTCATCCAGATAGACCCAGTTTCTGTAGGACTCCAGAACAATGTGACGCTCAGCCGGAATCTGCGCCCATGTTGCCCAGAAAAACTGCCCTTCCCGAGGAGGAGGCAAGGTGACGTTCCGCGTCAGCAAGACCTGATGCCCACATCTCATTTGCGTGTTCTCTCTCCTTCCGCTCCAGCTCCCGCTCGCTCTGCTTTCTTATTCTACTTCAAAGAACTTTCCCTCTCTTGAACAGCGGGTGTCCGCTGGCATAGGCCAGCTAACCTCTCAGCCCGTTGGATGGCCATGCAAGGTCTCTATCTAGTTCTCTACTTGCATCTAACTGCTGGGTGTTCTTCTACGCGTCCCAGTCTCCGTCTCCCTCCCCTCTGCTTCACAAAGATGCTTGCCTTCCCTGTGGCGCCCTCGCTCAAAGCTGACTGCACGGCATCCTGCAAGTCCTGGAAAGCCGGATCCAGAAACCTGAGGCAGGTGGGGTGCAAACAGCCGCGCCAGAAAACCAGCACTGCTAACAACAGCTGCACGTGATGTTGCAACAGCACGAAACAACTGCACCAGGAAGGGAATTGCGCTCTGAAAAGCCGGTACACATGGCGCCATGAGTAGCATCTTTTCAGCGAGATGCATCTGAAGCATGTGTAGAACTCCATGCTGGATGATCTTGCCTTGGTGCTTGATGGCTATTGGACATAATAACTACCCACCGACTTGTTGCTAGGCGTTGCAGCAATTGCAGGCGGACGTTGTGATGTTGAATCATTCTTGTCAGTGGTGAGGGTCTTGGGATTCAGAGCCCCGTATGGGTGTAAAGTGCAGGATCTGTAAGCACGGTTTGAGCTGGACAAATTCGATTCAATTCCGCAGCCGAAGGATTTTGATGAGCCTTTTGTGTTTGAAAACGGTTGGCTCGTCAGGCTCTTCACTACGGAGCATGCGCTTCGACTCCCATCGCAGAACACTAGCTCTGCACATTGAGCTAACCAGCCTGCATGACCTTGAAGCTCTTACCAGAAATACATAAAGCTCGCGTGGTGAAGAGCCGCTTCCATCTAAGTGACATAATACAGGCCTGCTGAGGATTATTCAGATCTATTGAAGCCCTGAGATGAGCGCATGTTACAGACTCTCCAAGCTCAACAGAAACCAAAAGGTGAACTCTAAGACCCAGGTACCTATGGGCAGAGTCCTCAGAGTCTTGGCGAGGCAGTTATGCCAGCATGGCACATGCGGGACCCAAAAGGGTCCACTGCTACTTGCCATGGCGTGCAACAAGTCGTTCCATCCAAGCTTCTCGCTGTCAAGCGGTTTTAAGCCATTTTGCATGCCTGCTGTTGTGAAAACCATTGCGTTTGCGCTTTCTGCGTTGAAAGAATAACTAGATTTCTGCGGGGCATAAGAAGCCTCACTTTGATGATATCTCAGCACATATTTCTCCCAGCTTAGTTGCTGGAAACCTGTGAGCAAACGAGCAGCAAACATGTTGGCCGACGTGAACTCACATGAGTATGTGCCTTCTCAAAAGCTTCATGGAGCTTCCAAAATGACGAAGCTTTCGAAGTGCCTGTGAACCGTCCGTTCTGCATTTTTTGATTTCAGGTGTCCCTGAGTTTTCTCAAGTCAAATATGACACGATCGCAACAGCTTGACTTACGGAGCATGGGAAGGAGGAATGGAGGAGGTTTTCAAACGTTGGCCGGGAAGGCTTGACGAAATCTCCACCTTGTTTCGTCACAGAGGTTACATGAACGGCCCTGAATGGTTAGGACTGCTTAGCGATATAAGCGGGTCCAGCATTGGACTGTGTGGCAAACCCTTGCCGGCTTACTTCTATAGATTTGTTAGCCCTAAACCAAAGACAACTTTCCAACGCACCGCTGGCTGTATGTGTAGCTCCATCTGTGCTCTGGGTGCCTCGGACTTGCGATCCTTCTGCTGCCGGGGTCGGTCCTGAGCAGCATTTAATTCAAGAATCAACCCTGAAAGATGATGAGAACAGCTGCTACTGGAATAGTAAACTTTATGATCACAGTCAAGATGCTAGCTACAAGGTTACAGACAAGAAGTCGTGACTTCCCTGGAAGCTCGAAAATGGCAAGAATGATTGGCAGAGCTCTATAGCGTGGACTTATCAGCCTTGCGAGAATTCAACGCCATCCAAGCTTCGCCGACCCCGAGTGGCAAGCCCTACACAAGAAACTCAGCCATTCGGAACTTTGAGAGGTTGCTTTGAAAAACAGCATGCCGCCACTTTGCTCGACATGCGCAGCAATGCAGGGGATCTATAAAGTGGGAAGCTTTTGGGGAACGTAGGGCAGTTGGAAGACAGTTTTTCGTCCTTTCCACTCCTCGAATGGCAGTTAAACTTCAGAGCAGTGAGGGCATCATGCACTGAGGAAATCAAGATCTATCCAAGACTCAGCTTGATTGGCCACAGCTCTTCCCTCTGCACGTACACCTGCCCTGCTACGTAGGAACTGAAACCCAAGCCACGTCTAGGATTGCCGTCATTACAATCAGCGTCCTCATGCCTTGGAGGCTGGGCAAAAGAGGCC